ATTATTATTATATAATCAGCTACTCAGGATGACTGGGATAACCACAGAGGACAAGGTACTGCAAAATAATAATAATAATAATAATAATAATAATAATAATAAATATGCAGTGGCTTGTCCTCCTCTGTAGTTATCAGATCTAGTCAACCAGAGTCTGCAAAGCCTTGAGTGTGAAGGATGATGATGATGATGATGATGATGCAGTGCCTTGTCCTCTGTGGTTATCACATCTGGTCACCCGAGTCTGGAAAACTGTGAGTGCAAAGGATAGTATTATTATTATTATTATTATTATTATTTCAGGTTGTTTCCAAGGTGACCCTAAGGCACCCTTGGCATCCTCTGAGGCTGAGAGAGTGTGACTTGCCCAATGTCATCCAGTGGGTTTCCATGGCCAAACCAAGAGTCAAACTCTGGTCTCCAGAGTAAAACACAAAAATACAATTAAAAACATACAAACTCAACACTGAAATAGTATTAAACTGATACAGGATTAAAAGACATTATTCATTTAAAGAATAAAAATGCAGTCAAAATGATTAAAACGTTTAAAAACAATACAAATTGAAACTACAAAATCCCTCACCCAGTCTTTAAAGGCTGACTTTTTTAAATGCCTTTCTAAATAATAGGAACTCAAAGTGGCTTACAGTAAATATATATATATATAATTATAACCATACAAAAGTAAACATTAAAACAGAATTAAACTGATACAGGATTACAAGATATTATTCATTCAAAGAATAAAAATGCAGTCAAAAAGATTAAAATGTTTAAAAACAATACAGATTAAAATGGTACAAAATCCCTATCAAATTCATAGAATCATAGAGCTGGAAGAGACCACAAGGGCCATCCAGTCCAACCCCCCCTGCCATGCAGGAAATCACAATCAAAGGACCCCCGACAGACTTACTTAAAGACTTACTTTTCAAAACACCTGTCTAAATCCCAGTCCATTTTGAGTATGACCAAAAATGGATGATGTTCGAGAAAATGGAGAACTGACCAAACATAAGTTAAAAAGACTCATAAAAATATAAATTCATTTTGTCTCATTTATTTACAGCTTTATGTGCTGTTGTTGTTGTGTTGAGTCGTTTCCAACTTATGGCGACCCAAAGGCCATGGGGTTTCCTTGGCAAGTTTCTTCAGAGGAGGTTTTGCCATTGCCATCCTTTGAGGCTGAGAAAGTGTGACTTGCCCAACAAGGTCACCCAGTGGCTTTACATGGCCAAGCAGGATTCGAACCCTGGTCTCCAGAGTCATAGTCCAACACTTAAACCACTAGACTGGCTCTCATGATATACTCTCTTTATCTACTCAACCATATTTTTCTGATGAATCTATAAATGCTTTGTTTGCTTGCAATATATTTATAGAACTCTGAGCCAGATAAAGGCTTAACATTGTACTTTGCTAGCAAAAATAAAAAACCTTTCACTGAATCTACATTTTAACTTTCCCTTTCATTTGTCCATTGTTCTACAAACCCCTTTCAACATTTGCACGGGATCCTCAAGCAGCCCATTGCCTAACACGTTTACTGTCCTTTTCCCCTCCAAGAAACAAATGTGTCCTCAGCTCTGGGTGCGAGTCTTGCCTGCTACTGCTCCTAGGAAAAAAAGAACTCTAGAAGGATCCATCCCATCCTCCTATTTGCAGCAAGGACAGGCTGGCAGGTAGATGAATTTTCTTGAAGGAGGACCCCAAATGCAGTGCTACTCAATGGCCTTCTTAGCCAGGCTTGAAATGGAGGACATTTTGGAATTCTTTCTGATAAGAAGAAAGTTGAAATGTAGGACAGATCCTGAAAAAGGAAGACATCTGGTCACCCTGTTTTCCAGATCAGTGACTGCAAAAAGGGATGCATGGAACGCATCCAGGATGGCATGCTTGGAACAGCTCTGAGCTTGGGAAAGTTGCCTCTCATTTGGGACTGCAATGCCCAGCATCCCCAGCAAACCTTGGTGGCTGTGGATGCTGGGAGCTGCAGTCAAAAAGGCAGTCAAAATTGACCCAAACGGTATCATTTTTCAAGCTCTGCTTCCAGTTTGGTTGCATAACACCCTAGGCGCTTCCTCCGGAGGAAGCTTAACAAATCTGCAAGATTGCTCCAAACAACCCTGCAATGAAAGGAGAAAAGGACAGCAGTGGGCAGGATCCTTGCCCTTTACATTTTGGCTTCCAGTCCCAAGACTGGGCAAAACATCTTCCAGATGTTTCCTTTTGATTCTTACTAACAGTTTTCCTGATCTCCAGAGGTTTCAAGTTTTCAAAATAAGTAGTGTTAAGGAAACAATTGCATTGTTTTCCTGAGAATTAATTTCTTGGGAGGAAGGGATATGTGCAATATGCAGGAATTCCATATTTTAATGCTAGGAAAGGGGCCCCCGTGCAATCTCTTGGCAGTAGCCCAGCTAGAAGAAAAACCACAACATTACCAACCTCAGTGTTGCGGATAGTTAGTTGCAACACACACACACACACACACTCAAAAAAAAAACCTGTAGTTAAATAGATAGATTTCTAATTTTATTTAACCTTATTGCTCTTTTGTGCTGTAAACTGCTGTTTCTGCAGTCTTGGGTATTCCCTTGCAGCCTTAAGTGCTGGAGCCTCACCTTGAAGAATAGGTGACTGATGGCCTCTGTTTTTGGCAGGAGGTCCTTTTCAGCTGCAAGTTTCAAACAAGATGTGATGCTTCCCAGCCCTTTGCCAGAAGACTACTGCTGTGTTTTATGGTCCTTATCCTAGCTTTAAAAGAGTACCGTGGGCCTCTGCAGCCATGCACAGGATAACCTAGTGTGAACTGACTTTGCATAGGCATCCTACGTCTTTCCTCTTCCACAGGCTGCCCTACATATACTCTTTCTGAGTTTCTTGTTTCCCCAAAGGGGGGTAGGAAAGGTCTCTAAAATAGTGCCACTTCTGGGTTTGCATCTGAGGAAGTAGACTTAAGTCTAGGAAAGCTATACTGCCAACTTCTTTCTTTAATCTCAAAGGTGCTACAAGATTTCTCTACATATTATTATTATTATTAGTATAATATCCAAATGCATCTGAGGAAGTAGACTTAAGTCTAGGAAAGCTCATGCTGCCGACTTCTTTCTTTAGTCTCAAAGGTGCTACAAGATCTTTCTACATATTATTATTATTATTATTATTATTATTATTATTATTATTATTATATCCAAATGCATCTGAGGAAGTAGACTTAAATCTAGGAAACCTCATGCTGCCATCTTCTTTCTTTCAGTTAGTCTCAAAGGTCCTACAAGATCTCTTCACATACTTCTGGATTTGGTTTCCTTGGGAAGAGGAAAGCTGTATCTACACTGCAGAATTAATGCAGTTTGATGCCATTTTAAAT